CCTTCTTCCAGCCATTCTCAGAGACAGGGTACTGGATACATAATTCGCTAAACTGTTAGCCTTTAATTAAACAAGTCTTTGTTTAGTGATATTTTGGTAATATATTGTTCTAACCATAGCAAATATTAAGAATAGGATCTTGCATAACTCACTTCTATTTTTTTTTTATTGTTTTCAGCAGCCGTAGACTGTTCAGTGCCAAAAAGCAGGTTAACCAGCATCAAATGTAAGTATTTCCTATGAGATGTTAATTCTTTAAAAAGTTTTATAAAGTTAGGGTGTTATTTGCTATTACTAAGGCTATGATTTAATCATGGGTATTTTAGTAAAAGTCATGGACAATAAACAAAAATTCATGGCCCGTGACCTATATGATTATATGGCTATATGACTTTTACTATAAATACCCCTGACTAAATCTTGTGAGGGGGGGCTTCTGCTGGGGGGTGCTGTTTGTGGGGGGCGCCCGGGGCCAGCGGCACCAGCTGTCGGGGGCCGCCGACCGCAGCTGTTCCAGCTAGCCGCCCTGGGGACCGCTGCAGGGGGCTGCCCGAGCTGTTCCAGCGACCCCAGGGATCCGTGACTTCTGCGACCTCCATGACAGACATGGGGCCCCTAGCTATTAATGATGCAACATTCAAATTTGCAGTAGGGGCCTCACAAATACAAGAAAAATCCTGGTCCCCACCCAGAAGGGCTCACAAACTAAATTCCTCACAATATAAGTGAGGCTCATCAACAGAAAAGGGAGGGAATGAGAGAGGAAGCACAAGGGTAACAATAAAAGATCACAGTTACTCAATAAGGCACACGTGTATCTTCATGACTCTTTATAACACTCCTCATTCCCCTTTTTGTGGCAGTCTGTAATGAATTTAGCCCTAGTGAAATGCATCTAGCCAGTTATTGCCAACCTTGAAGTTTAAAGTCGTCTTCTTCCCCATGGTGGATGCAGCAGAAGCAGGAGCAGTGCAATATTCTCTCTCCCACCTCCCTTCCAATGTGTGACCTTATGGCATCACATGTGGGGTGGGAGGTAAATTTTGTCTCCATATGCACTCAGCTTCTCTATGAAGACTTTTAACAAGAGTGCCCATTAGTGCCAGTTCTGGAGGTGTTTTTGGGAAGTCAACACCTGCCAGGAACTGGACTGAGACCAATCAAATCATTTCACAAAAACAATCAAACAGCCATCAGGTGGTAACAACATAGGTCACAATCAACCCGGACTGAGCTGCAATTATTACCATTGTTAGTTATATCTCTGTATCAAATACTGTTTGTGATAAGAGAAAAGAGAAAGTTATTGTGATAACAGTGCAAGCTGAAATGCAGTGACTTTCAAGACATCAGCTTACTGACTGCTAAAAGAAGTATATCAGTCAAAGAGGCTAAACCTAAACTGCTTGTTAAATTAACAAACATATTTCTTCATTGTATTCTTGTCAAGATACATACTAATGATTTGTGTATCTGTTTCCATGCTTGTATTGTAATTAGTAACAAAAGATAAGTTTTTTTTTAATGGAGATATCCTATCTCCTAGAACTGGAAGGGACCTTGAAAAGTCATCGAGTCCAGCCCCCTGCCTTCACTAGCAGGACCAAGTACTGATTTTGCCCCAGATCCCTAAATGGCCCCCTTAGGGATTGAACTCACAACCCTGGGTTTAGCTGACCAATGCGCAAACCACTGAGCTATCCCTTCCCCCTGATGATGATGATGGTGGTGGTGGTGGTGGTGATGATGATAAGTGACTTATTAAAGCAGTCATTTTTGATGGAAGGAGGCCATGGAATGTGTTTTCTACCCAGTGAACAGGGCCGGCTCCAGGCACCAGCAAAGGAAGCAGGTGCTTGAGGCAGCCAATGGAAAGCGGCGGCACGTCCAGGTCTTCGGCAGCAATTCGGCGGCGGGTCCCTCTGGGAGCGAAGGACCTGCCGCCGAATTGCCGCCGAAGAATGAAGCGGTGCAATAGAGCTGCTGCCAAAGTGCCGCTGATCGT